GAGCTGTGCGAGTGTTAAGTCGAGAGAAGGAGTAAAGTATATGGCATCATTTGCTAGATGTCTTTATAAAAGTACACGCCAGTATATGTTCGACATGTGCTTATGTGATGTAGGCCAATAGCTACCTAGCCTTCCCTGACGGTTTGTCGTTTATGAAGTCAGGCCTCTCCAACGACAGATGTCACGGAATCGAATTAGACACTATGGCATGCTGAGACAAAAAGCCTACGTGCGGATCCCAATCAGGAGACGGGGAGTGGTCATCAATATCGTCATCATCATCATCATCATANNTCATAATCATCACCATCGTCATCATCTCCATGGGGACAATTACCATCGCATGCATGACGAAGCAGAGCTGTCAGACATACATGCATATCTGAGCATTTTGAAAGGTTTTACACATCCTCACACCCTGAATCCCCACAAACCCCGAAGCCGGAAACCCTGAGGAGTTGGAGAGACTCCAGGCACTTGAGCCCGAGGAGATGTGGCTCGAGGACCTAAGCCACGAGTTCTTTCATGTTTGGAGCGGGGGGGGGGGGGGGGGGNNGGGAGGGATTTCTCCGGCTCGTGGGGGTTTATGTTTGAAGGTTTCGGGTATTGGGCTTTAGGGCTTTAGGCTCAAGGCGGTTGCGGGGGCCTTGGGTTGGAGCTTCAGGGGCTCCATAGCTAAGGGTCTGCGGGTTCAAAAAAAAGCCAGTTGAGCTTTGATGTGCAGCGGTTATGATTGTGAGATTGGCGACAAAAGGTTTCAAACTCAAGCCTGATTCATGGCTCCGCGTGGCTTGCGATGTTCCACTGCGGGATTTAGACACTTCCTACTCGATTGGATCAGACCTAGAAGGCACATGCAAAGTTTAAAGGGCATGATACGATATAACCAATTCTCTAAAGGCCCAACCCGTCCTGTTCCTGTGGTGAGCATCACAGGACCTTTCAATCTTCCGCCATGCCTACACGGAGGTGACGCATCAGGCACTGCTACTGCTACTGCTGCTACTGCCACTGCTACTGCTACTGGGACTGCCTTGGGAACTACAGTTTCTACACCGTGTGACTATGAACAGGCACGTACGAGTCAGCAGCGCGTGATGTGCGTAGTGAAACCACAAGTAGTACCATCCGCCGGGGCGGAAACTTCCGAATGCAAGCTGCAACACTCACGATGAATGAGCTTATTTGGTAGAGGTCCTGGCAGTAGCAGGCGGGGTAGGGAAGTAGTGGCATGCCACCGCAGTAGCGTTGGTGGTAGTTGCTTTACTCCCTGCAAACGCGCTCATCCTGATGCCCGGATGTTCGAACACTTTGCTGCACAGGTCGCCAAGCAGTCCTCCCAAGAGGAACGCACGTTGCCGGGAGACTTAATTTCGTAGGGAATATGCACCAGGGAATATGCATCTAGTCCTGCCCCTATTTTGTTCTTGTGTTTCCGTCTGCATCAGAAATATAATATGGGGGTTTCCGAAAATAGGGGACCCTAATACACTACCCCAAATACTAGGATCCTTAGTAAAAGGACCCCAAAATAAGGTACCCCTTATTTAATCGGAAACTCCAGTATCTCAAAACCTCACCAAAGCTGCTTCTCAGCTGTAGAAGTTGATTGTACATAGCGCGGGAGGGAGGAGGGTTCCTAAACCCAAAACCCTGAACCCTTAAACCCTGAACCCTTAAACCCTTGAACCCTTAAACCCTTAAGCCCTAAACCCTAAACCCTTAACCCTTAAACCCAAAACCAGGGAGGGAGAGGGGTTTGAAAGCTCCAGGCCCACGGTGATTCTCGCGGTCGCACTCGTAGGACACATCTGGGAGTTTCCGAAAATAAGGGGTGCTTTATTTGGGGGTCCTTACAATAAGGATCCTACCTATTTAGGGTACTATACTAGGGTCCCCCTCTTTTCGGAACCCCCCCCCCCCCACACGTAAGAGCAAGATGGCTTGCAAAAGAGCCTCTTTCGGCCATCCCGCCCAATTGCGCAGATCTCAGGCGAGCCTGGGCTGGAGGTCCTGGTATCTGCCTTTTTCTGGCTCCTACTGCCCGATGATGATAAAGTTGTTGATGATGCCATCACGATCATCATCCCAGACCCCCGAAAAAAAAGATCCCCTAATTTGGGATCCTAACTAGTAAAGGGTACTTTATAGGAACCCCATCATGATGCTGGGCACTGTGATCCAAACCCTCACCCTCCTTGAATGCCCCCCGCGAACATCTGCAAACCTTGCATCAGCAAAAAAGTACGACCCCGTTTGGGGTCGATGGTAACGGCCTTAAGGTCTTCAAACAAGTGCCCAGTCCTCCGCATGCCCAGTAAGGTCCGCCGCTGATCGACAGAAGGCGATGCAAACCTTTGATCAGGACCCGATGCCATGCCTGCAGTGCCCCACTAGTCACTAGTGTCTCTGCTCGCAGTTCTACTGCAGCGGCCCCAAACCCACCGTCGCGAGCAGCGAGTCTCACCGACGTCACGCGCTTGACGAACACAAAAGAGAGCTTTGAGACACGCTGCCTCCACGGGTTATATAAAGCCTCACCGCGGTCCAAAATCGCCCCAGCAGGAGGTTTGCCGGGCTCAGGGCTAAGGACCAGGCGATTTGAACGCGACTCATGCGAGTTGATGCGTTTTGGGCGCAGTTGTAATCAAGCTCGAGCAGGTTGCCGCACTAGCCTCTCACTCCTGCAATGTTCGGCCGTCTCTTGGTGGTGGTCATGGCTAGCCTGCCACTGGCAGAGGGCAGTTGCATGTCTGAGAACCAGAAGAACTTGCACACGTGTGCGAAGGAATGCTCAGAGAAGGACGCCAAGGCGGCGTGTGTTTCCGATTGCCTCATCGACTTAAAGGTGCCATCTACTTGTGCCTCCTGTCTCGGAACGCAAGTCGACTGTGGCCGACGATTCTGTGCAACAGAGTGCAGCTCCGGCAACTCTTCGAGCTCCTGCTTCGCGTGCCTGGATACGAAGTGTTCGGACTGTAGCAAAGACCTGAACTTCGAGTCTCACTCGCTTTCGGACGTCGGATCCGATTTTACAAAGCTCTTTCTGGGTGCCACCGGTGAGGAGGCAGATGGCCCCGTGAGCTTTCTAGCAAGACAGGCAGGGACCTGTGCAACGGGAGGTTCCCTGCTTCGTGGCTGTGGAACCCCTTGTTACAGCCATCCAGATCCATCTGGCTGCTATGCCCGGTGCTCCATCAACTCTTGCTTCAGCGGATGCTCGAGTTGTGGCAACAACCACTGTTTCGCGTCTTGCCGGAGATCAGTTGCGAGCTTTGAATGCGCAGTCTGCATCAGTGGCCATTGCGGAGGCTGCCAAGTTAGCTACAGCTCCATGATGAATCAAGCTCCGGTGGACAGCCAACCTGTTTTACCGTGATTATCACTTCTGTTCCGCGGGTGACGAGCAGTTTGCAGCCGCATAGCCGAATGAGGCCCGCTCCAGTTTTGCTGGTGACCGGCAACTTCAAGTTGCGTAGCCTGCCATACAGGGATGCATGCCGAGCGTGGCTTCCTCTTTTTCAGTGCTGAGACAGACAGGGAGGAGCTTAAAAGTTCTCTACAACTCAGCTCTTCTGTAAAGTAATGACGGTGGGCTTGTTTCGGTGACAAACCGCCTGCACAGTTTGAATGCTCAGTTTTATTGCACATGGCCAGCCTCATCGTGACCGATCATGCTCATGGCCTTCTGAATAGTAAGTTAGTGACAGTATTACAGCAAGTGGTAGAGCTTGTACAAAGACAAAGCCCGCTCTACCACTTGGAGCGGAGGGCCAGCAGTTGAAAAGACTCAGTTCGATCGCTGCCTGCAGCGATCGCTTCTTGATGGCAGAAGCTCAGTGGACAGGTCGAATTGGAATCTCCCTGGCAGGAACGGAGGCGCCTGAAATCCAAAAGTCACAGAGAGCAGAAGGAGGCCTGGTGCTGTGCCCCGGGCATGTGTATGTGTTGCGACCGGGTGGCTACGGTTTGAACGGCTTCGAGCAGTGTTGGACTGTTGAATGCATTCGGACATCAGCGGACCGTCCTCACTTCAGCAATCTCCTGGCATACACATGTGACTGAGACTGAGGATGGTTAAACTGGTTGGGCAGGAAGAATTGCATCGAGCTAGAGCTCTAGAGAAGAATGCGGTGCAGATGGGGCGGGCCCGGGAAACATACCATCGGCTTAAAGCCTCCTGTTTGATCTTTCCAGCACCAAAGCGAGAGGGGCAGGGGGCGAGCAAGACCAGCTCGAGACCAAGGCACATGATGGTTTGTTGTTTTTTTCTTCTTCTTGTTCTTGAGCGTGTTCTAGATGTAGTTCGGTTCGCCATGCGAAGCCATGCCTCTGCAGGAATCTTTAGGCTTTTCACAGCCTGCGCCATGGCCCGTCGGGGGGCGAAAGAAAACAGGTTCTCACATTGAGCACCATGTCCGACAAAACCCATGCCTCAGGTTTGGAATCCTGGCCTCTTGCAGAAGATGACCGCGGCCATGCTGCAGGCCTCCCGCTTCGAACGGAGGTTCACTCTGCACGGAGGGATCGCGCGCACACCTGCCGGGGTTATAAGCGGCCGCTTAGGGGCCTGCGGCTAATATCACTGAGCGCTCGTGTCGAAGCTTGCTTGCACATGTTCCGTCATGGAGCCCCAGCAGGGCTCTACGTGCACAGAAACTGGCAACTTGTTATCATCAACTTCCCAAACCTTCAAAGCACCGCCAACTAGCCCCAGACAGGGCCGCCACCACCCGGGGAATTTGAGCCTTCGCCCCAGCCCGTTGCTTTCAGGAGCGCTGCAGGAGCCATGGCCCAGGCCTCGGGAAAAAAGGCTCAGAAGGCGATTTGGATGGGACGTATACCGGTTTAGAGCTGTCAGTCGTTTAAAGGTTTAGGGTTTAGGGTTTAGGGTTTAGGGTTTGCAAGTGAAATCACTTGTCTGCTACGTCTCAGTGTTCTGTGCCTACGCAGTTTGCAAGGATCGAGTGCCAAAAGGAATCTGTAGCTCCGCAGAGCCGAGCCATTTACTCCGGGGAGCATTCGCACTATCCAATTCTGCTGAAAGCTTGAGCGAACCGCTACATCCTTCACCGTGCGAGTCTTACTGCTCGCATGGTAGCGGAGCCTACCCTGATCTGCTACTGAGGGACAGGAGCAGAGGCGGGGGGGCTCAGAACGCCAGGGACCTTGAACACTGAACGCGAGGCCTTCAGTGATTACGAGCATGAGCGGTGAAGGTGTGATTAGCCGTTCCAAAGACGGAATCCCACAGTGGGATGGTGACAGTGCGAGTTTCTCCCGGTATGAAGAAGAGGCTCTTCTGTGGCAGGAGAGCATAGCCTGGCAGAAGCGCTACATGTGTGGGCCAAGGTTGATTTCGGAACTTACGGGTGCTGCAAAGCGTATGATCATCGACAAGCCAGCTAACTGGGTTTCCTACAATGGTGGGGTGGAAGTTCTACTTGGACACTTGAGAGAATGCCTCGGGCGCCCTCAAGTAACAGAGTTGACTGAGTTCCTCAACCAGTATTTCAGGAATTCCCGGAGGAAGCCTGGTGAGACGATCAACAGCTATGTGACCCGCAAAACAGAAATCTACATGCGAGCCCGACAAGCCCTTCGCCGGCTAAAGCCTCACCAAGAAGCGCAGGGGACTACGGCCAGGAATGCGACCTCAACAACACATCTGGCATATGGGAGCCGACGCTCCAGCTGGACGTCAGAGGCCGAGGGCCAGACAGCGGAGGCGGCAACGGCGGAGGAGGAACATGGCGAGGAGACCGAGCCCGAGGATCCTTGGCGCAGCTGGCGCGGCACATGGGGCGGCCACCCGCCTTACTGGACAAGCTGGCAGTGGCAGGGCAATGCGTGGAGCTGGACTTCCGGTGCTCCGTGGAATACGGGCGACGGAGCTTCGTGGACCACGGGGAGCTCGTGGGGAGGAAGCCAGCCTCGATCCACGGATGGAGCCAACGACGCGGACCAGCTACTCCCCGACTGGGTCCAGGGGTGGTATCTGTTGCAAGATGCCGGCTTGACAGCTGGCGAGCGCAACATGATCTACACGGCTCTGAAGGGCGAGTTCAGTATGAACCGGGTTGCGCAGGAGCTGCGTAACCAGTGGCCGGAACATGAGATCAAGCGCCATGACCAACAGCATCGTGCCAGTGGGTTTTTGGGCCAAGTGGACGACATCAGCGATGACGAGGCGGACACCAACGTCTCCTTCAACGATGAGGAGCTCAACGAAGAGGGCCAGGCCCTCATGGCGGAGACTGAGGATCAGGCGGCGGAGGCATTGGCAGTGATCCAGCGGGCGAAGAAGACGCTCAAAGAGGCCAGGGCCCGCCAACATAACGTCCGCATCTCCAGGAAGTACTACCGGGGCGGACCTCCTTCGGGAGGAGGGGCATCAAGCTCAGGACCGCGTGATGACAGCCATATTACCTGTTTGCGCTGCGGGCGCACAGGTCACCGCGCGGCAAACTGTGATCAGCCTCCCACCTTCCAGAAGAAGGAGGATGCTCCCTTTGTCTGCTTCGCCCAGTCCGAGACCGCTACTCCGGACCCGCAGGCATGGGCCACAGGGCTAAGCACGAGCGATGCAGTGGCCCAAGGAATGGGGGTGCTGGACGGTGGAGCCACTAAGACCTTAGGCTCAGTCCAGGCAATCGAGCACCTCATGGCTAAGAACCAGGCGAAGCATGGAAGTGACGGCGTGGCTGGGGTCGATTTGGAAAATCGTCCCGTTTTCGGTTTCGCCGACTCCGGAGAGGCTCAGTGTCTATCGACTGTACAGTTGCAGATTTCCGCCGCAGGGCAGCCGGGACGGCTGCAGATCCACGCCTTAGACAAAGGCGGAGGACCAATTTTGATTTCGATCGCAACTTTAAGGTCGCTGAAGGCCATTTTGGACTTCGAGAACGACCTGTTGGTGTTACGTGCCCTGAGCACAAAGCGTGTGATTCCCCTTCAAAGGTCAGCTACGGGCCATCAGCTGATTGATCTTACGAGCGATTTGTTCAAGGAATCACACGAGGCTGTCACAGACATTCCAGATTTGAAGCACTACATAGACCGTAGTGGCTAGGGACAGCTCCTCTTGTCTACTTCACCGGAGAGTGTTCGAGAGGAAACAAGGCCATCCGGAACGGGTGTAAACACCAAGATGTCTATAGATCCTTCTCCTAGAACTGGCGAGGGTACGGACGTTGTTGGTGATAGGGATAGTTCTAGTGATTTTTCCACTCCTGAGCGAAGTCATGTGCAGCAGCAGTGTGAGAACCAAAGCTCCCACCACGCCTTCTCCAGTCCACGCCGTGCCGAGCAACATGGACAAGTGGAACAGGACCCAGCTGATCAACGAGATCAACAAGATGGGCGAAAGGCCGCCCACCTCGTGGGGCAAATCCGAGCTCCTACACCGACTCAGGGAGCTGTACGAGGAGCAAGGCAAGACGGCGCCCAAGGGGAAGCGCACGCCGCTACGCGAGCAGGTGATCCAGCTGAACAAGCACAAGACCAAGAAGAGCAACCTTGTGGAATACCTGGAGAATACTCTCCAGATCATGGTGAATGGGAACGAAACCATGGCTCAGTTGGAAACCAAGGCGCTCAACCACCTCTACATGACAGTGGAGGCCACGTCGGAGGACTTGGTGGGATTCGGAAAGCACTCCGAGAAGACGTACGGGGATCTTCTTTCTCAGTGCCCACAGTACGCTTCGTGGGTGTTGAAGACTCGAGCCGAGACCGCGGAGATGAACCCCAGGATGCTACGCCTTGCGGCGTGGTTGCAGAAGGCTACGGACACGAAGGGCCCAGTGCAACCGGCCAGCTCTCTCAAGCTTCACATCAAGACGGGCAAGGGCTACATCGAGGAGCCCGATTTCGACGAGGACCAGTCAGGATCGGCCAGCACTTCAGCAGCGCCTGCGCCTGCCGCAGGGAAGGGTGCTACCACGGACCAGGCGATTCTCGAGGTGATGAAGGGTTTGGCGGGAGCGGTGCAGCAGCTCCAATCGGAGGTGAGCGAGATGAAGGGCGAGCGACCGCGCAAGGCCCCGAACGACACCAAGTGAGAGAAGGTCTCACACCAGCCGGCTATGAGGACGATCCGGTAGCTCAGCATGTGTGGGGCGCACAAGGTACCAAATCCGTAGACTCAGGCAAGTCATTGAGCCACGACCTCAGTTCGACTGAGGCACGGCTCCTTGAGGACGCATCTCAAGCAATAGTTCCCAGGTTGTATCAGAGTCTAATTGCACATTCGGAAACGGGACAAGACCGCCCCGTACTGATGGAGGTGGCTTTTGTGAGCCACACAGTGTGCTGACTAGGACCGTCCAGGACCGCACAGGTAACCCGAGTGCTGCAGTGAGGGCTTCGTTGTTCAATTCAGGGGATTTGAGTACTTCTGCGGGGTTAAGGTTGGTGATGGATAGGATCAGATTAGAGCAACCCCAACATGTCTGGTTATCTCCTCCGTGCGGACCTTTTTCCCCTCTTCAGAACACCAACCAGCGAACTGAACAGCAGCGAGCAGAGCTTGCTGAGAAGCGACGTCATGCCATGAAGGTGTTTACAGGAGCGGCGTGCATAGTTCACTTGTGTATGCAGCTAGGAGTTCACTGTAGTTGGCAATGGCCAGAGAGAAGTGATGCTTGGCGACTCCCGATGATTCAGAAGTTGATTCAGAAGTATGGCTTGTACACTAGTGTGGCTAAGGGATGTAGAGTTCAGCTGAGGGAAGAGACGAGTCAGCGTTTGATGTCCAAGGGATGGAAAGTGATGACTAGTCTGCGTAGGCTTGCCGAGGATATGAACTTGCCATGTAAGTGCGGAAAACATTACGTGCATGGACGTTGCGAAGGTAGAGCCGCGGCGGCTAGCGCCTCCTACACTCCCGAGTACGCTAGAAGAGTTTCCGATATCCTGTGTCAAGAACTCAGCTTTCAAGCCACCCTACAGGAGTGCACAGGTGATAGCCAGCTTCCTATCCAGTTTGGACTTGGAGAGACCTGCGTCTGCGGAGAGACGAAATTGCAGGACTTTCAGCTCACATGCGGCAACTGCCTCGTGGGTGGTCATGATGTCGTAGGGGACTGCTTAAGAACCCCTAGCGCCCAGGAAGCCGAAACAGGTTCAGGGCACCCCAGACCCGAGGTGAACCCAGGTGCAAACGGGGATACCCAGGTACCTGATCCCCCTTCAGGGTGTCAATCGGGAGGTCAAGGAACAGGTGATCAGGCTATGTGGAGTCAAGAAAACACTAGGGAGTTAGAGGCTCAGGCCAACAAGCTCCTCCAGGCCCAGGACTTTCGACTCCGAACCGCTGAGACCTTTCTCAGGGAAGTAGCTCAAACACCCGTGAGACGCAGCAGAGGATCAGTTCCCGGAAGACAAGCTGAGTATGTCTTGTTTGGAATGTATTCGCATGGAAACCAGTATGGCCTGACAAAAAGGACGGAGGCCATGCCCCAGACTAGTGAGTACTTGAACCAGCTGTTCAGGAAGTACGCGGGACCGGATGCCGAGTGGTCCTCACTGGTAGTTTCCCGAAACAACTCAATGCCTATACATCGCGACAACCATAATGATCCCAACTACCCCAACCGACTCCTAGGAGTAGGCAACTACACCGGAGGAGAACTCTGGGTGGAAGCCCCACCCGATTACCAGGGGGAAGACGCCCTGGCTCAGGAACGCGAAGATGGTTCCTGGACACCAGGGCGGAAGTTGGAGACCCGAGGACGAGTGGTATCTTTTTCGCCGCAGGCCTGGCGTGGGACCATGCCGTGGACAGGAGAGCGAATTGTGATCACAGCCTATGTGAGTCGTGGGGCTGGAGTTGTCGATGAGGATTTTCGGAAAGGGCTTCGAGGGTTTGGTTTTCCGTGTCCTAAGTACCCGCCGGTCTTGCGTGAAGAGGGTTTCGTGTTACAAAGGTTGGGTAAGTGGCAAAGGAGGTTTGGACAGGCCCCTAAGCAAGAAGATGAGCGTATCCGAAAACAACTGTACCTCCTGCATTCTGCCACCGGTCACAGTAGCATTCGTTACATGGTGGATTCACTGAAGCGGCGAGGGGCTTCGGAACGGGTTCTTCAGTTGGCTCGGGAATTTCAGTGTGCTGTGTGTATGGAAAAGAGAAAGGTAGGAACACGCAATCTGGCCACGCTGGAACCGCTCCCTCCCCGATGGACAACTGTTTCAGCCGACATAGGTCATTGGACCCATCCCCAAACACATGAAACAGTTCAGTTCATGCTGCTGATTGACGAAGCTTCTAGGTTCAGGGTTGCTCGGATTCTTACGACAGGGAGTAAGCAACAACCAGGAGCCGTCAAGTGCTTGGAGTACCTTCAGGAAGGGTGGATTCAGTATTTCGGAAGGCCCAAGACTTTACGGTTGGACCCGGCAGGCTCTTTCAGAAGTCAGGCCGTTGAGGCTTTCTGTGATAGACAACAGATCTACCTGGAGGTGATCCCAGGGGAAGCTCATTGGAAAATTGGGGTATGTGAACAGGCTATTCAAGGAGTCAAACAGGTGATGACGAAGATGTGTGAAACTGAAGCCTCGGTGACCCCCGCTGAAGCCTTAGCCACTGCCATCCGAACCTTCAACCATCGAGAAATCATACGAGGTTTCTCTCCTGTGCAGCATGCGCTGGGACACGCCACGGACGAGGTAGGACATGCTTTGGATGTCATGGCCCAAGTTCCTGTGGAGAGTCTGTGGGAAGATCCAGTAGGAGAAGTAGAGCGGGCAGCCAAGAACCGTGCAGAGGCCGAGAAGGCTCATTCAGAATGGATAGCCCAGCAAAGAATCGTGCGAGCGAGCAACTCTCGCTCACATCCTGTCCTGGATTTCCAACCAGGAGAACTGGTGTTCTTCTGGAGAGCACAGACGGGACAGCAAGGACGCAGGCAACCAGGAGATCGCCATGGACGCTTCCTTGGCCCAGCAAGGGTGTTAGCAACCGAGAAGGGCCGAGACGCCAACGGTCAGTTGCGACCCGCCAGTTCAATCTGGCTGGTGCGAGGCCGCAGCCTTATCAAGTGTTGTCCGGAACATCTCCGGAGAGCATCCGAGCGAGAGGAATTACTTGAATGTCTGGCTGAAGGAGATGACCGTACGCCGTGGACGTTTCGACGTGTTGCGCAGGAGATAGGAGGCAACCAGTACAAGGATTACACCGCGGACCAGCCCACCGGAACCGAGTGGGAAAGAGCACAGGATGTGGAAATGGAGCATCCGCCTCTTCGCCGACGACTTCGCGGTAAGCGCACGAGTGACGACATGGAACCTGCTCAGGATCAGAGCCTGGGACAGGAGCCAGCCACCGGAAGTCGCTCCCGAGGGCGACGCGCGGAACCTGAGCCCCACCTAGGGTTTGCCCAGGCAAGTGCCTGGTGGTCCGAGATCAAGGAGGAGCAGTGGCATCACGCGCCCACAGCCTATTGGACAGACGAGACAGCAGCGGTGGAAGTTGAGATACCCATGCCCGACAGCCAACGGGCATGGCAGACCTTCCATCGGGACGCACAAAGCTACTTTGTGGGGGCTCTCAAGCGCCGGGCAGTGGAAGTGTCAGAGCGACGTCTTTCGGAAAAGGACAAGCAGGCCTTTCGCGAGGCGAAATCCGTGGAGGTGCGCAATTTCATCGCCGCCAAAGCCTTCGAGACGCTTCCAGAGGACAAACGTCCCAGTGCTGATCAAGCAATCAATATGAGGTGGATTCTCACGTGGAAGGTTCGTGAAGACGGGAGCACTAAGGCAAAGGCCAGAGCAGTGCTATTAGGCTTCCAAGACCCCCTCTACGAGTTCCGATCAACCACAGCTCCAGTGATGACCAGGCAGACACGCCAGATGCAACTTCAATTATCAAGCATCAAGCAATGGCAGGTGCAGAAAGGAGATGTGTCTGGAGCGTTCTTGCAAGGCCGCGAATATCCTGGCGAGCTGCTATGCATCCCTTGCCCAGAAATCTGCCAAGCCATGCATATTCCAGAAGGATCAGTGACCAGGCTTAAACGAGCTTGCTATGGTTTGGTGGATGCACCCCTTGAATGGTATCGGACAGTGGCCGACTACTTCCAGGAGCTTGGACTAGTAAGAACATGGTCCGATGCTTGCAGCTGGGTCTGGAGACCCAATGGGGAACTGAGAGGGATGATCACCGGACATGTTGATGACTTCATGTTCAGTGGACGGTCAGATGACAAGGAGTGGCAAGCTCTCTTGGAAAAGATCAAACAGAAGTTCAAGTGGGGCGATTGGGAATCAGATAAGTTCGTTCAGTGTGGGGTGCAAGTGGAAGCTACTGCTGAAGGTTTCCTTCTGAGCCAACCCCGCTACGTAGAGGGTCTCAAGGAGATCCCCCTAAGTGCCACACGACGCAAGGACCTCAAGAGTCCTACCTCGGATTACGAAAAGTCCCAGCTTCGTGCCGCCTTAGGCGGCCTTTCGTGGCACGCCCAACAGGTTGCGCCACACGTGTCTGCTGAGGTCAGTCTCCTCCTCAGCGAAGTGACCTCCAGCACTGTGAACACAGTGGTTAAGACGAACCTCCTGATATACCACACCAAAGCCCGGAAGGAGCATCAGATGCGCATCCACAGGTTTGGACCTCAGGAGGAACTGGGCTTGTACGCCTGGGTGGACGCGGCGGATCAGAACCGCCACGATGGCGGAAGTATCCAAGGAATCCTAGTGGGTATAGGGCCCTTGAACATGATGCAAGGAGAGCTTGGAAAGGTCAGCATCTTAGCATGGCATTCTACTAAGATTGACAGAGCATGCCGCTCCCCAGGAGCAGCGGAGACCCAGGCTGCAGTGAACGGTGAGGACGCCTTGTTCTTTGCCAGGTACCAGTGGTCAGAGCTCTTGCATGGAGTACAAGATCTACGAGACCCCGCAGGGCAGGTCAAACGAGTACCAGGCTGCGTTATTACCGACTCCCGCAACGTGTACGACAAGTTGCAATCAGAGGTGGTAGTGATCAAGGGTGCCGAAAAGCGGACAAACATTGAACTGCTTAGCCTTAAGGAGGCCCAGATGTCCCATGATCTACAAGTACGTTGGGTACATTCAGAGGCACAGCTCGCCAACGCTTTAACCAAAGCCGGGCCATGTCGTGAACTGGAACTGTTCTACAGAATGCAGTGTTCTTGGAAGATTGTGGAGGATCCAAGCATGCGTTCAGCACGCAAGCGCAAGAGCGAAGGTCTTGCACCGCTTAGTTCAGGAGTGGAAAACTAGGTTTGTTAATGATGTGCCAGTTCCGGGGGAAGGAGGTGGCATGCAAGTGAAATCACTTGTCTGCTAC